GTAGATTTTCTCTAAGCCTTTTTACACATCTTTACCAGGGGTGCCAATAATTGTATTCATTTTTTTGTGGGGACCATCCATTCATTTCCGTCCAATGACAACCATAACCCCTACCAGGCCCTAACCTTAAGTAACCAAACAAAATACAAGACTTTGATATTTTTAGTTTTTTGGCTGCAGTCACACATTTTTATAAAATTGAGTTTCCCCTTGTGGAGACCGAAAAAATGGCCCCCACAATGTCAAAATACACCTGGTCCCCACAATGTAATATGTACATAATACACCCACACCCACACACACACACACACACTCATTTCTGCTGCTGGGAACAAACCACCAGTGGCTCTCCATCCCTGATGGGCCCGTAGCCTCTGAGCCAGCAATGGCTTTAATGAAATGATGAGAACTGACAATCTGGGGGGGCTGTGGAGGATGAGCTTGGGCTTTGCAGAGGGTTCTTTTGCATGGGGGAGGTGGGCTAAGTGGCACTGGAGCCAATCAGAAGTGACCTCCATGATCCAAGTCAAAGAGAAAAGCCCAACTGGGTGTACAAGAGCTTGCAGAGACCCTCCAGATGCCCCGTAACTGGTAGGCCCAATCTCATCAGAACCAACACGTTGGTGTGATACAGGATTAGGAGTGTGAAGGGGGGCGGTCTAACACTCCTGTGAGAGGCTGTATCCATGGAAAGGAAGCGTAAGGTTTCTTTAGCTGCTGCTGAGTGAGCTTTTAGTGCTCTTCCAGCATGAAGATGCACTTCACCAATTGGAACGAGGTACTGGAAGCAGCTACCATAGATATCCCACCGCAGGCATATTGATGTCAGGGAGGCAGATAAGGGACAACTGGGAGGGAGGGCCAGCTAGGGTTGGGTGGTATTAAGTATGGAAATACCCAGTGTACCACGGTATAATGTCTACACAGAATGGCTGGCCATAATGATTGTATTTCAGTAAAGGATGCACATTATTTTTGTCAGCATCACCAGGTTAATAGTTACACAACTGAAACAGGCTAAATAGGGCTACATTTGATTGAAATTAGCAATCAGTGGAACGTGTTTACTACACTGTAAAGAATATTTTAATATTTACTATAATATTTAGAGTACTGACTAACTTATGATCAGGTCCAAAATTGTACCTGGGGGTGTCAATCTAGAGTTTGGTTCATTAAAATTTTTGGTCAGCCATTACTGTTCTGAATGTACAGTTAAAAAAATAAAGACTTTCTTAAACCTAAGTGCAAATTATAGCAGTATCTAAAAACACACAGGTCAAATTTCATTTAAAGCTATGAACTGGAAGAAAATACGGCAACAGTTTATCAGAGTTGGGTAATTCAGGTCCAGAGAGAAAAAGTCCAGACCAAGATTTTGTTTCAACAAACCAGTTGAATACTCTGTGACTGTGACTTTTTATGCTCAACTGATCAATCAAAATCTTGGTCTGGACTTTTACTCTCTGGACCTGACTTACCCAACTCTGCAGTTTATACTTACATGGAGTGCTGAAAGAGTAAGAGTACTATGTGGGTCTGTGTTGTCTTTAAAGTTGACCATTCCTGTTGCAGTTCATAAGCAGGGCTGGCCCGACCCAAACGCAGCATAGGCGATCACCATTTAACTGGGGGGTCAGTTGACCACCTAGTCTAGAGGTCGGCGACCTTTTTAAATTAAAGAGCCATTATATCCTAAATGTCTGACCCAAGATTTACAAAGAGCCGCAATGGATAGAGAAGAGGGTTTGAGATACGATTTTTAATGCGATATCGGTATATATGCATTTAACACAAAAACAAAACAAGTAATTACAAAAAATAAAGAAAAACAATTTGGGGGGGGGAGGTTCTCAGTTTTAAATCACTCGAACAGTAACAGTGCAAAGGTGACTAATATCACAATATTGTTCAGTTCTGTAGTGACAGTCTTCACCCTCACCCAAGTTCGTTTGGCCCTGCAGTTGTCTGCCCTTTACTCTCCACTTTACTACTTGTAACTGTGCTGACCGAGCAGTTATTTTACATGTGCTCCTGTTATGCTTATAGATTGTTTATGGTCATCCCTCCATTTACTACCTCCTACCCAGTACACAGCCATGGAATCCTTTGCATAATGTAAATGGTCTTTAAAAACAACTGTGCAAAATATATTAACAGTATTTCATTGTTTTATTGTGTTACGTTTTTAAGCATTTCATAAAATGTCACCCCCCCCTTTAATCCCTACTCCTCACTCACACCACAACTCTGCAACTCATAGAACTACTGAATGGATCAACTGGAAATGTCAAACCCACATTCTGCTTACATGCGGATTTGCAGAATTTTCCTCACCAATCATGTGGTTAACTGTAATTATTTGTGCATGCCCATGTCTTAAATATCTTAATGTCATTTATATTACTTATACTCTTCCATCCATCCATCCATCCATCCATCTTCCACCGTTTTTCTGGTTCCAGGTCATGAAGGCAGCAGTCTGAACAGAGATGCCCAGACCTCCCCCTCCCCAGACACCTCCTTCAGCTGCTCCAGTGGGATACCCAGGCGTTCCAGCTGAGTACAGTAATATCATCTCTCCAGTATGTCCTGTGTCTGCCACAGGGTCTCCTTCCGGTTGGACACGCCCCAATCATCTCCCCAAGGAGGCATCTTGGAGGCATCCTAGATAGATGCCTGAACTACCTCAGCTGGCTCCTTTCGATGTGGAGGATCAGCAGCTCTACTTTGAACCCCTCCCAGATGTCTGACCCTCTCACACTATCTCTAAGGCTGAGCCCAGACACCCCGTGAAGGAAGCTCATTTCTGTCACTTGTATCCACAATCTCATTTTTTTGGTCACCACCCAGAGTTTGAGGTGAGAGTTAGAACTTAAATCGACTGGTAAACGACAACCTCGCCTTTCATCTCAGCTGCTCCTGCTGGTGTTCCCCTAGTGTGTGTCCTTGAGGCTGACATTCCTCTTGTCATGAGTTTGAGGCTGGCCTGAGGGCTAGCTCACCTTTATGATATATTTTGGTTTTATTTTATCCCCTGGTGTCTGTATGCTGATGTTATATCTTGTTTTTGGTTACCCTGCCAGTGCCTTTTCTATGTTCTATTTTACAAGTGTTCCTTGATTTCTCCTAGTGTTGATAGCCATCTTTGTTAATGTTTCCTAGTTACTAGTTTATGTTAAATGTAATTTACTCCATCTGTTCCTTGTTGACCGGTGCCCTTAGTGGTTGATTTGGTTATGGTTTTCACCTGTCCTGTGTCAAGTCTTGTTAATACTGTATTTAAGTACCTGCTCTTATTCTGTTCCTAAGTGGTTTATTGTGGCTGTTTCCTTGTGTCGCTGTGTGCTTCTTAGTTATAGATACCCTGTATTCCTACCTACCCTTGGTATTGTTGTTCCTGGCATTCCTACCTGTTCGGTTTTGACCCCTCGTGGTCCCTTTGTTTTGTTTCACCCTTGATGTTCTGTTTTCTTAATAAAAATTTGTCTTGTCTGAGACCATGGATTGTCTCTTCCTCAATCGTGTCTCACCATAACATTGTTGTATTAAACACTCTGTTGCTACCTCCTCTCAAACTGATGGCATTGCAAACATTGCTGGTAGCCTTTAGGCTAGTTTGAGTTCCTAGCTTAAAGATTTTCCATGACTGACATCTTGATAGTTTGTAGTTTCAAGCCATGTTCGTCAGGCTTACTGCAGTGTGACCGAACCTTACAATGCACAAAACTGTGGTAAATGAGGCAGATGCGGGAAATTAAACACATCTGGCTTTAGATTGGGCTGTGGTAGCTGATACCCGATTCTGATCATTGATATTGGCTTGGGACATCACTGCTAACGACTGTACAGTCATAGCTCTGCACAGCTACCTCAGCAAAGGAGGCATGGAACATTGTCCATTGAGTCTCCGGTCTCTGCCAGAATGTAAGATAAGATCTCCTGGACAGGAGGCATTGCCAGACACTCCCGGCACATCCTCACCATATGTTTGACTTTACCAGGTCTGTCCGGCATTTTCCCCAACTGTCTGATCCAAATCACCACCAGGTGGTGATCAACTCCGCTCTTCACCAAGTTCACCGAGTTCCAAGACCCCGCCCAAGCCTTCTGTGTGGGGGCTAGAGATAGAGGCTGGGGCGTGTGGGGGGATGTTTGATTAGATCGGGGAGAGGGGATCATGGGGGTCATTTGGTGAATACATCAGTGTCATTTTTTGTCACCTTCTTTGCCATTTATATCCATGCTCATCTTAAGTACTGTAGCGTTATAATGAATACATAGGTTAATTTCCAGAGTTAAAATGCTAATAGAAATTTTTTTTGTTTGCTTGCTAGTGTTTAGTTTATACAAATTTTATGTACACTCCACCGTGCCTGTGGGGCATTTTTGTGCCAGAACTTGTGTGTTTCCAGTGAAAAACAATCTAGGTAGCAGTAACGTTTGATCTCAGAAAAAAAATCATAATGGTTCCTGTTTGAGAAAGACGTTAAGAGCTAAGCTGCTGCTCAGCTCAGAGCTGACTGTGCTCTGGCATCTCTTAGTTGTCCTCTGCCACCCCAAACATTTTGAGTTAAACTTCGGGAAAAAATGCAAATTGAACTAAAGAAATTGATATTTATAAATCTGGCTGTGTTGTGTGATTTTTTTTGCATACATCTGCCTAAATTAGTATATTTTGCTCGTCTGACATTTTATTTGAAAGGGAAAAGGTTCACCATGTGTGTGTACAGAAAAATCCACTTTTTGGCCATTAAAAAAAGGCCTGGATGAGGTTCCATGCCAGGTTATTACATCAAAATAATTAAAAGAAAATACAGAGTAATATTAATTATCTGTTCTTCTTCATTGACTTTGCAGGGAATATGAGAAGGAATAATGAAAATGACCTGTTCAATACACAGTTACACAGTTACACAGTAATCATTAAAAAAAATTTAAAAAAACTTAGACAATCAGTGAGTGCATGTTGAATGCAACAAAAACACATCAGCTTTTTGTTGAAGTTTCAGCATCATTTATTGGATCCAGAAGTCCCTAAACAAAACAATAATAGTCTGAAGGTGAGAATGGATTCCTTCTTTCCAGGGCTTCTGAATTTTGTGGTGTTTGGCACAACGAAGCATTGTCAGGTTTTGAAAAAGGGCTGCTCTTCAGTCCATTAAAATGCAACCTGTGAAAGGCCTGAAAAAACGAGAAGGTTCTGGTTCATGCGAAATGTCAGACTCACAAATGCAGTAACCCTGACCGGCTAAATCAGAGCATGAATATAATTAAAGGAACTGTCTCTGTGGCCACAAGCCATGAGTGTCGCTATAGAACTGCTATGGACCTGGTGAGAGTTACGTCCACAGGACAAATGTTCTAACCCAGGTTAAGTAGTTATATTGTAATTAATGAATTGCACTCATATCCTTGAACTAAATCTTCCATTAACTGAACAATTGGGACTTCTATAATATTGTTTATTGGAGAAACAAACCATTCGAGCATAATTAGATATTAATAATTAATTTCCCTACATATTGATGGAGACAAATTATTTGAGCTCATTTTTCCTACAGCAGACTTGACAGCTCTGACGCACATGTGCTGCTGAACAACTAGCCGTGCTACGGCTACAAGCTACAGGTGATTTTTCAGGCCAGATCTATCTGATGGAAAATCCGACCAGTTTCTCACTCCCCTGCCTTCCTGTTATACGATTCAACATTTTTTTTTTGATGTGATACTGGATTTGTGGCATACTCTACATGAATCAGTACTGGATTTGTGCCATACTCTACATGAATCAGTACTGGATTTGTGCCATACTCTACATGAATCAGTACTGGATCGGTGCCATCTGTAACCGAAAGTGCTCATCCTGACATGACCATCCCATTACCACACACTCCCATTTATTAAAGTTTACCTAGTTTATGTTTATCTTTGATGGCCCAGCAGATACAGTAGTGCTGCAGGAGCTGCTGAAGCAGTTCCTTCTCATCCAGAAATTCCAGTCGCTCTATCCTGCAGAAACCAGGAAAGAGCACACAGGTGATACACATGCAGAAAAGGTAAACAAGGCATGGACCTGTGCTACTGTGCATTCCCGGGATGACTGCAAGACCCGCTCCGCACTCATACATCTTCAGCTAAAGCAGTGTTTTCCAATCCAATCCTCAGGGAACCCCGTGCAGTCCACGTTTTTGCTCCCTCCCAGTTCCCAGCCAATCAGGAACACCGGATACCTGGTACAGGTATGTTGGGAGCTGAGAGGAAGCAAAAACGTGGACTGTCCAGGGTTCCCCGAGGACTGGGTTGGGAAACACTGAGCTAAAGGACACGTCACAGCTGTCCACAGCTGAGGCTGCTTATATCTACCCATCGGAGCCCAACCTGGCCACGTCCTCCTGGGGCAGCATGCCGTACACGGTCATCATGTCCAGAGCGTCGGCACCCTCCCAGCCCGCCGCCAGGAAGCGCTCCTTCTGCAACACAGGCCATACTTCACATGAGTCTCAGTTATTCACAGGAAGCTACACGTTTATTCCAAGTAGTAAGCTCAAGCTGCAAAGAAAACCTAAATAACGTTTCAATGGTAGAAGCCACAGCATGTAGGGCAAAGAAATCTCAATGATAACATTTTATGTTATTTAATATCAGATATGGCAAGTTCACATTAATATATAGTGTATACATCGATGAGCCGAAATATTATGACCACCCTTTGACAGGAATAACATTAACTATCTTGTAAAAACAGTATATGTCAAGGTCTGGGCCTGAGATGCCTGAGCACGGTACAGAGCGATCACACTAGCCAAAGAACTGACTTTTGGGGATCAAACATGCTCAGGCTCAGTATAGATCATACACCCCATAAGTACCAAATGTTGTTGCCATCTGTTGTTTTTACAAGATAGTCAATGTCATTTAAATCACATGGGGTAGGTTAGTCATAATGTTTGGCTCATTGGTGTATATCAGAACAGACTGACGGTGCCTTAATTTAAATTATTTCTTCATAAAATCATACGAGAGTTTACCTTAAGCATCCATAATATCATTAGATATATCTATTTGAATCTAAAACGTTCTATTTTGTGCTGCTTAATGCTCCATTATTGGCAGCCTCCCTGCTACAACCTAAACACAGGAAACCAGAACATTTAACAAGATCAGTCTTGACGCAATGCTGCACATTTGGACTATCAGCAGTGAGCTGGTAGGAAGCAGAGCAATAACACTCATCACAGGCCTCCTACAGTCACCCGAAGTGGAAGAGCCCAGTGACCCTGACTGGAATGACTTCCTCCTCAAGGTTTTAACAGGGTCAGCTGACAGGAGAGTCTGGCGGGAACTGTTGGGTGCAACTTCGCTGGATTCGATTTTTCTGTGGTTACAGGGCCTTAATGCCAGTTTCTGTTAACATGTTGTTAAACCCCTTTGCTAGGTTAAACCCTGACGATGATTCTTTCTTGTAGTAAATCTCCACAGCGCAACTGTCGGCAGGACCATTACTTAAAGCGACTAGAATCCTCAAATGTTTCATTCCCATCATATTTCTTTATTCCAAAGAAATTTTACAACGTAAATAATTACTTTCCTAAACTTCATCATTCCTGTTATCCTTAAATGGGTTATAAACTAAGGTGACCATGCGTCCTTTTCTTTCTGGACTTGTCCTCTTTTTCGGGACCTAAAAATACCTGAAATGCCTGGGATTTTGTTTTGTTTCATGTTGACATTGATTTTCTACAGTCAGAATACTTCCTGCGTGCATATTTGTGTTGCTTTGATGTTTCTCTTTTGCGCCCTGCCCTCGGTGTTCTCATTTTTACTAGGCTAAATATGCTAATCCAAAGAAAAGATGCAACGCCTTAGCGGGAAATTGTTGCACAACCAACACAGTCATCAGGCACGTGTAATCGTTTGACAAAAGAGGGGAAGTCCTACACTCTTGTGGTTGACCCGGACACCAAAGCATTAAGATTCCAGCGAGTGTAACACACCTGCGACTCCAGGGACCAGCAGGCTTCCACTCCTGCTAAGTTACAGTGGCGTCTCTGCAGGTTTTCAATCATCACCTGCCCAAATCGGTCGTTCATGTTCACCTGCGGCGTACAGACGTGAGCCCAAGTGAAACATCATTCACAAGCACAACCGTCTCCGTCCCAGTGATGCCTGGTCCTACCTGCTCGTAGTTTATGAACATGGCCGTGTGAAAGGTGTCTGAAGCCCAGTGCACCAGCTTAGACGACTGCTCAGGATTCATGTATACCAGCACGCACTCGGACAGGAATAATGCAGGCAGTCTGCGGGATGGGAAACCAGGCATATCCACAAAGCATTAAGCATTTCATAGGTTACATGCATGACTAACTGGCAGAAGAGCAGGAGGTATTTACACCATAAACAGTGAAACAACTGCCTTTTGCCCTTCAAACCCAGAAAGAAACTAATGCCATCTATGTTTTCGGGCTGTGAAACCATGGTCAAAACTGACAGATGAGTCAACATCAGTGTTACATGTGTAGACAAACAGCTTAATTTTTACTGCTCTACAGTTAACTTTCAACAGTTACAAGGTGTAGGAAGACAATGCCAGAATATGGCATCTGGACATGTTTTTCATAACCACCCGTCCAACCCAGGGTTGTTGAGTGTATGTCTCAGGAAGTAGAGGGCATATGTCTACACAATTTAAAGGTGATTTAGAGATATGAACCACATGCCTTTGAACAGTTGGGGGGGAAACCAATGTCAATGTACACATCACAACCCGTGGTGTGGGGCTACAGGCTACCCACTGAGCCATTTATGAATGTTCCACACCCAAAATGTTCACATCAATGAGAGCAACTTACTCAGGATTTAGCTGAAACTTCTTAAGCTTGTCATTGACACTTGCAAGGTCTCTGAGATCCGCACCGATAATACAATATCTGTCCGAGTCCAGGCTGTGGCCATCTGCAATACACATACCACAGAATAACTGGGAAATGTTTAAAATACAAGGACACAATTTTTTGGAGACATTATAGAAATAAAACTGTGGAGAATGTTGAAAAAGGAGACATTAAAAGTTAATACCACACAATGTCATTTGCCTTAGTGTAGCTAAGGCCAAAATGCTACCAGTTATGGCTTCTTCTTACCAATTAAAAGGGTATCTGTGGAGTGGGTTTCAATTATAGGTTTGGACAAAGGAGGTTTAGTCCTGGCAGAAATGAAAAAAAAATTAAGAAAAAGTTACCACTCATATTTTTCTGACACACAGGGCTACTGTATCTTCATTCATCAAAATACACAAGGACAGCAAAGCAATGTTCAATGCAGGCTTATGTTCAGAACTGTTAATGGTCTTGCTGTTGTAACTTTTCCCCACTACACTTCCATGCCCACACCCTCAACTGACCTCTTTTCCAAAGTTTTACGAGTTCATGTAAAATAGTCCATAAAAACAAATAGGTGTGGTCTCTTTAAAATGACTGAATAGGCACATTTTTGTATCTACATCAAAGAAAAAAAGCATTAACCCTAAGGTCACAACTTTTACACCCATTTAAGGAAATACATTTCATGTTTTCAATTAAATTGTTGATATCTGTATACAATGTTACATTTAAGACAATTTTAACTGGTTCCTGCAGTCAAAAATGCATTTGAACTATGTGTAATAAAGGGAAAACCATAAATTCCTTACTTTATGTTATGTATCTTCCTTGCAACAACCATGGGAAAGTCAACCTCAAAATACTTTTTAGGCAAGAGGCTTTCGTCCTATTAATTGAAAAGCAACACATCGTAAAAATCCAAATATTGCTGAACACATTGTTACTGATTCCACTTTAGCACATTTACTTTGGTTTTCAGTTTATTACATGTTCTGATTTGCAGAAAACGTATTATTCTTTATAGATGAATAACAACTTTTAAAACTATGCATACCTTCAACTGCCAAAAAGTAGTGTCCAGTCCAGCGCCAAAATTAACAACCTGACAGTCACACGCGGTTTTCCTGAGAAAAGCATGTAGGAGGAAATTCATCCCCTGCACACGAGCATAGTATCCTGAAAACGTAAAGCATGTTCAACACTGGCCAGTGGCAGAAGTTAAAGAATTATCATCCTGCATTTAAGGCAATGCAAAATTCCAGTGAGAAGGCCTCACATGTGCAGTAATTCCTAAGTGACCACAAGAGGGCAGTTGAATGCAGTGAGTGAGTCACTGTCACTTTATCATGTATAAATGTACTTATGTCATTATTGTTTTCCTCTATCCTTTACCTTTAATAGTATGCTGTATTGATGCTAGTTGTTTGCTTTTGTCAGGTTAAGAGCACGTAACTCAAAAGAATTAATCGCTGGTTAATTTAAACGAATTGAAGCAGTAGAAAAGAATTCAACTACTGTTACACACATAGAAAGAGTATTTGTGGTATGCAGGGAAATGCATGGGAGATGAATTTCAAGTTAATAGAGTGAGTATATGACTACAAACATTGTAACTAATTTGACTACAACTAAATGTACCCTGAAAAATAATAAGCATACAATTTTAAATTTTATTTATGACTTAGCTAGACATCTGCTACTTTGCAGTATGTTGCACTGCAATGTACTTGGTTAAATTTCAAATTAAATACGTTTCCTATTAAAGATGGAACATAGCTTGCAGGACAGGGCCTCTGCATTTAGAGGAAGTGATTAGATGTCATTGTTGACATACAACAACGAAATGTGTCCTCTGCATTTAACCCATGTGTCACATCATGACATAGCAGGGGCGGCTAATTCAGCACCCAGGGAGCAGTGCTTGGGGGCAGTACCTTGCTCAGGGTAACTCAGTCGTATCGTGCAGGCCAGGGATTCAAACCAGCAACTTTTTGATTACAAGTGCATGTCCCTAACCATTAAGCCACCAATGCAATGCAAGCAATGCCTCGTGCATGTGAAAGTATAAACTCCTAGTATGCATCAAGGCAAAAGCTGCACACTGGTTAGTCTCAAAATACTTTTAAAATTGCTTTCCAGAGAAAACAGAGCCACATAAATATGGAAATAATCCCAGACAAATATAAGAAAATAAGTAAATGCGTAATTTATTTCTTGGCAAAGCAAAGCAAACATAAAATTAAGGCAAAAACAAAAACAGGAAAACAACTAGAAAAAGATGTAATCTGTAAAATGCACATGGTCCTCTGAGACCTCAGTTTGGGTACATTTTATTTAATTCCACAGTTCTGTAACGGCTGCTCTAGTATGGGATGGTTTCTGGAGTATTGATATAGTAAAAACTTGCCTCTGTTGATTTCCGGAGCCTTTCGTTCACCGATCTGCCTGACAAAGTACTGGATATATGGGTCCTTCCAATAACCTTTACTGGTGGCAAACCTGTAAGTGAAAAAAATACTTATTACCATACTGTGCAAAAACTACTGACGATATCGACGGTATTTTATTCAGACAAAAAAGTTAAATAACTATGGTTCCCAATGCATTTACATTGTGTTGGAAAATTACATCACACATTGCCTTTCGTTTGTGATAAAATCTAACTAACTTAGAAGAACTGCTGTTATGTATGTTTACAGATTCGTAAATTCGCAGGCAATTAGTTGCCTAGACCACAGGAAAAAAATAATAAAGAATACAGCTAACTAACTACCTTTTACAAATTGATGCATCGTCACAAGTCGCTCTCACTGCTTCATCGGCAGTATCAGAGTCTGTAAAAGGCTGTCGGGCTGCCATCGTCTTTTACATAAGACACAAAACGTTGTTTACAAAAAACTGCTATACCGGTAGAGATATGGCATATGTAACCAGGTTAATAATCTAGGTTACGTCCCAGTTGAATAAGGAAAAAATACTCAGTTATTGGTCAAATGTTCGACTTTATTTTTTCATTATTTTAATTAAGTTTCACGGAATAAACTAATTATATCTATATGATATAAAACAAGTTCTCATTCAAAATCACATTTCACATTAGCAACGAATAACATTACACTTGCAACATATGATACTGTAGCTACTAGGTTTACCAACTTCCGCTTCCGGTATTTTCTGACAACGATGCACCCCATTGGCTGTCAAGTATTCCCACGAAACAGGAAGTGTCGCCAGCATTGTCGTCAATACAATCCTCAGCAGTCCTTCACCGACCCGAGCTCGTTTAGCCGCACTTCGCTGCTGAGGGTTAGGTTTGGATGACACAAAAAAATGACAGTACTACCACGTAATATGGTATTAACTTTGATCATTTAAAGGCAATTTTGGAATGCATTATTTTCGGATATCTGATTTAAGTGATTGTTTCAATTTCAGTACAATTATTCATTTTAGCTAACGTTTTCATCCAAATGAACTTCTAGTAAGGGAAAAGTTAAAATGTATGTGCACGCCCTGGGATTTGAGTTCTATTCTAAATATTCTACTTGTTAACCCACAGAATATGCATATACATACATACAAATATATAATCAGCAAGAGTATACTGTATGCATACATTATATATATAGTCCTGCCATAAATTCTCTTCAGCGTAGTTTTTGTATTTGTGTTGAACGTAGGATGAGAATCTGCATGTTTGCCAAACCAATGAGATGAAAGTGAACTTAGTACCATTTCCCAGTAAATCCCCTTTGCCGTGATAACTGTGCAAAGTTGTAGGTGTGGTGACACTATGGAATTTGACATTTTATTGACGTGATTAAACGCCGCCTTTCACGCAGGCGACTAAGGTTCTAGCCTCTAGCAAAGTTGCTGAAATGAATCATATTAAATTTAGTCTGTAATTGTGGCAATCTCAGTTTTAAAATACATGGAGCGTGACTTTAAAAAGAAAAGAACTATATTCACTTTTTTGGGTTTGTTATACACTTATTGTTGTTGCTTTCATAATTAATTTTCCTCATGACTATGTATTTACTGGAATAGTAATCATCAGAAAATAACCAAGCAGACATTCCAGCTGAAAATGTGTCTGTCGCCTGTTGTAGGGAGATAGACTTCTACATATCGAGGCTATATATTATAGTAGGTATAGTGAAATTAACGCTGATTGGGTAAATAAACAAACATTACTTCTCAATAAGGTATTTGCAGTTTTATCCTTTTTGTGGTTTCAGTTACAAAAACTCGAGCAATTGATTGAGCCGTCAAAGCAAACAGCTCGTACTGTACTTCACAAACTCTTTGTAATGCGAGCATTGCATTTAGGCTACTTAGATTGTAAGCAAAGCTGAGAATGGCCTCTCTGCATATTAGTTTAGGGAAGTGCACAGTGCTTGTACTTCCTGCTATTTAACCGCTAACGGTATCAACACTTGGTGGAGGGTTTAGGGCTGTAGTTTATTTATACGGCACACTGTCGTTATATGCAGAAGTTAACTGGCGATCCAAAGCGAAACTGCAAGGCAAGAAGAAGGCAGGGACGCCAACTCGTTTTACCGTAAAAGTACAAAAAGAGCTGCGGTTCCAGCGGCATTAAAGACAAAGGACGGCACATTTAGCTTCTCGGGGCTGGTTAGTGAACTCGGGGATATAACAAAACCAGCTAACCTACCTGTGTAGGCAGCGATCGGACAAGTTACGCAGATACGAGGGTCAACTGTTGCAACTGATGAGGGACGCGGGGAGCAGGGATCTGAAGAGTAAGAAGAGGACGCATCGGGACAGCGAGAGAAGATGAAGAAGCAGTTTAATCGCATGAAACAGCTCGCTAACCAAACTGTTGGCAGGCGAGTATGAATTGTTTTATGAGTTTGCTTATGGCGAAGGGGGTAGGGAACGACAGACTTGCTCTACTTCAGTTTTATATCTCGTTGTGTTTTCGAGAAGAATTGATAATAACTTGGTTTTGAACCACTTCCTTTTAAGTGGCTGATCAGAGTAGCGTAGCGGTAGTATTGTTTTGATAAATAAAATAAATCCTTTGTATGAACGCGTACCCGCTGGGATGTCTGAAGCGTGTATGTTTTACGATATAATGCTCGGATCGATTCGTTGTAAAGTATTATGGTTATACCTGGTTCGGCTTGACAGCTGTTGATGCGAGCTGTGTGTAGGGGGTGTCTTTTATTAATGTCATGGCAGGAATACTTAAACGTTTAATCAGCATTGATTGATTGATTGATTGATTTTGGCAATGTTTTTAGTTAGTGCAGAAGCATAAATTCGTAATCTCAGAATTTACTCTAGTGTGTTATGGCTAATGAAAACCTATAATTATGTTCCGGTTAGAAGGTCGTTATTGAATTCAGGTCTTTATTAATGAATATCACGAATTGATGGACTTTGGCGGTCACACTGCAAGACCTTACTCTTTTTACATCAGAAAGGCATGTACGTCTTCAGGGGAGTACTGGTAATGAAAATAATAGTATGAATACGATTTTAACTATGTAGTTTCCTAATAAGTGGGCTTCATTTACGGGTCCATTTAGAATAAAAGAGGAATGCCTTATGCAAAATTACACAAGATGTTCTGGGCAAAAGTTATTGCACGAATCTTTCTATCACATGAGCAGAAAGTGTTACTAGCCGACGACTGCATGCAGATCTAATCAAATCAATATCTCAAAACTATACTAAACACGTTAAAACGCACAGTAGTGCATTGTTGGCACAATAATTAACAGCGAGACCTCGATAAAGTCTCCCCTAAGGCTAATAACGTAAATCATAGTTCTTCTTTGTCCACATTTCCTTGTGCAGTTCTTCGTTGTTCTTTCTTTTTGACAGCATGCAGTTTAGATTTGGACGTTCGATATTTCCTTCTGTTAGCATTGCGCAACCTTAATGGTAAATGCATGTAAAGACTTGCTTTTGGATGGTTCACCTGAGTCAATGCATTTTGCACGAAGCAGTTTTGTATAGCGTTTGCCTGTCTGTTTTACAAAGCTGGGGCATCTTGAGAAAATATGGATGTCAGCTAGTATTTCATTTTCCCCCTCTTTCCAGAGCCTTTGCCTTTGCACAAATGTATGGGGGGGGGAGAGGTGGGTGGTCCTGCAGATGAGTGGGGAGCCATTTGCTGGATTATGAGATCTGTGTAGTCTAGTTTTACTTGGATGCGGCGCCCAAAGGAAAGGACTAGATGGCCGTGCTCAGTGAGAACATCTGGATTCTTCATTTCCAGTGTCCCCCTTAATCCCCATTTTCCCCTCAGCCTTAAACCAAAAACACCGATGACATGTTGCGGATAGTTGGTGGAAGGAATTAAAACAGCAGTGCGTCACCTTTGCCTCATTGTGTTGTTTATACCAAGACTCTTTGGTTTAATTGAAGCTTGGCCACTGTTGAATCTTGGGGGCACATTGTACAGGCCCTGATGTGGTTTTGGTGGGTGTAGTGGGACGGAAGCCGACGGTGGAGGATGGTAGGCAACAGCACCTCTTCACTGTGTGATGTGAATGGAAACATTGGGTGGACGGTGCACCCCCCCCAACTCCCTAGGCTCCACAGTATGATATTGTTTGATCAGATCTCCGTACTACTTTACAGTTTGCATAAGTAAATTCCCCTTGCATTTTTCAAGGTGTGGATGGGATAACTTCCGCATGTCTGACCCAAGCAAACTGATTGTTCTTTAAAGATAGGGGAAGGAGCACGTGCAGTTGAGTAGATGGATCATACAGATTTCAGACGAAGAACTCGAAGGGTTTCAGTGTCAGTTTCGCTTAAATTTTCACTGTACGTAATTTGTATCATTATGAAATACATTTACACAGAAACTGTCGGTGAAACTTTTGAATATGATATAATCCATTGAAATGAGGACCATTTAGCAGTAAGGGGAAAATTGTCATATTATAAATGTGTCCTGCACAAAAGGGCACAGATGAATTCTATCATATTTTTATCATTTTTGCTTTGACAATTTATATTTCTTTCACTGTAAAGCATGCTGCAAACAGTATAAAATTGTGATTTTGTGTCACCACAAATAAAACCACTGTCCTTGTTTTTGGAACTTTGTCATTGCATGATACATTTTAATTCTACAATTTTACACTAAATTTTTGGGCCATCCTCAAAGGATCAGTTCCCCCTATGAGAAACTACTCAATAAACGGCATGTGGTGCATTAATATGGGAAATGTCTGTAGACGCAGTTATCATCTTTGGTAACAAAAAGAAAGAGGAACATCAGTAAATTTTCTGGAGTAGTTGCACTTAGCTGGCATTATGATAGTATAAAGGGAAATGAAAATGATACAGCACTAATTCTCAGAGACGTCTAAATGCCATTATAATTTATATTCTTAATGATTGGTGATAGTTGTAATTTGAATAATGACACGTTAATAGGAACACTCCTGTTCCTTTCATATCCTGTTTTACTGTTGTATTTAAGTGTTCTCCAGTTCCTAGAACTTGCAGAATTTTCCTCTCTTCCTGGCTCTACTTGGTAAAAGTGCAGACTTTGAAAAGCAGGCGCAGTAATGCAGAAAGCAGACCTGATTTGCCCTGAGGTTGGGGGGTGGGGTGTGGGGGGTGGGAGTGAATTGCCGCGAGCCTCTGGGTTCCTGCAATTGTGCCGGTCACTTGGTCAGGGCTTGTGCTACTCAGAGGAAATCACCACTCATTTTGCTCGCAAAACAGGAAACTGCACTAGGGAATGAGGTCACATTTCCAAGGACAGATTGATCTGATTTCTTGATGTTGGTGGCTCGTGCTGTCCATGCCGGCCTGTTCTGGAAAGTGCCGCTCTTTAACAGGAGGGTACATGTCTGGCTATCGCGCATATCATGTTTTTTATTTGGTTAATGAACTGTTTTATATATACCGCATATAGTTCTGGAATTTTGAACTTACTAATCTCTTTGCACAATGAATATCTGTTTTGGGTTTTATGTTAGCTTGAGTAGATATTTTAGGAAATCAGGGACATGGACAACATGTATAAAGAGGTGTAATAGTTTGGTATGTTTGTAGATCAGTGATCTGCTATAGAATGTTTATAACTTTTTAAACAGTATTGTTGTTATGGATTAATACATGTAAGAGCAATAATCTTGGGACTGTATTGTCTTTTTCATGACTGATATTTGTAGCTGCCGCAGGAGAATGGATTCAAATGAGTTTTAGAATGTTTTTGTATTATAATCCAGCATTCACAGAGAAGATCGTAGATATGTCTTCAATTACATGTTTAATTCAAGTGTGTTTATGAAGTAGAAATTGTCCCCATCGCATGTTTTAACACCTAATATTGGTGCCAGACTTATTATTTAGTTGTAGTTCTTAATACTCAACTCCTGTTATTACTTCTGGCGTTACTGCCGAAATTGCAGAAAACAAACAGAACAAGATTAAAAAAATGAAGTTAAAATGAAACATCTTAACTTTTCTTGAATTAACAAGTCCTGGGTGTCTTGTAATAAACTCAGCCACAAAATGCCTTTTTAATTGTTAATTCATACTTAGGATATATTTTGCAATTTACTGTAATACTGAGATGCTGCTGATGTGTTTTTCATTGACTTTCAGAGTTATTTACAGGGGAAAAAAATAAACGTCATTTACGAACCACTTTTTTTTTTTTTAAATGATTACCATCTGACGACTTCTTATTTGGTCACAGATCCATATAAAAAAATCCATGAGTGATGAAAATGAGGGATTGTGGCATCTTGACTTGCCCTGAACATGACTTGATCTGATCCGAAGGTTGTCATGAACTGTTTTCTCTTTATTTAGGGAGCTCTGCAGTACCTATCACTATCAGTAATGCTAAAAACCAGCTAATGATTTAATTAAAGTCCCCCTCCCCACCTGAACGTATGGCCATACGTGTTCCCTACTGTTAAAGAGCAGCACCTTCCAGAACAGCCCCCAGACCTCACGGCTTCTCCCTTTGATCACTTAAGGAAGCCCTTTCTTAGGCCATACCAGTCTGCCTTTAATAGGAGTCAGGTTACATGTTCTTACTACTAAATGAATTCACAACCATTTTCCCAGCACTGTCCTGAAATCTAATAAGAACATAAGAACATAATTGAATGATGTGGTGCGTACCTTCTGTCTAACCTGTGTACCATCGTTATTAAAGGGGCAGCAAAACTATGTAAAACTGACACTGTCATGTAGGGCTCCTTGTGCCTTAATGGGGAAGTTACCAATATTGCTCATTTCTCTTGGTGCGTTCTGCTGAATGTGCTATGGAACTGAAACCTGTCAGATTTCAGTGCAAAATCATTTTCACTTAACCTGTGTTTTCTTATTGTATTTTTTCTGCTACACTGTGAGAACAAATTTAAAGAGAAAATCTGATTAGATGCTGTATGTAAACAACAATCAAATCATTGTATTATTAGTAATTACTGATGTTTTGTTTGATAAGCCCGTGTGTTTCCTTTGTTGCCCTGCAGCTGAAACACACAGTAACCTTTTATGTCCCTTAGTTTGCGTTTTCCGCAACAATGACACCCGCTGTAGGGACCAGCTGCACGGGGCTGCCCGGCCCTCCCCAGCTCACTCTGTGGAAGCTCCTGCCGCTGAGCCCCGCCGATTAAGACACAATGTCTCCATGGGCCGCTTTGTGCCGCCGCCGCCGCTGCCGTGACAGTTCCGGAATCCTCGGCACTCCTTTCTCTCTGGCTGGGTTTGCTCACAGACTCCCTGGCCCCGTTTGTTCTAGCTTGCCACTCGAAATGACCGCTGTCCCCCCTTCTCTGTCTGTCTATTTATCTTTCT